CCATTTCATCCATCATTAACATCTGACTTTAGTGTGGTACATTTATCACAATTAATGATGTAATGATACATTATTAGTAGACATATGTATTCTATTTGATTTCCTTAGTTCTTGCCTAAGGTCTTTTTTTTCCCTGTCTGGAATACCATCTAGGCTACCACATTACATTTAATAGTCCTGTCTCCTGTAGACTGTCCATTTCTCAGATTCTTCTTGTTTTTGATGACCTTGAAAGTTTTGAGGGATCCTCATTAGGCATTTAGTGATGTTCTTCGATTTAGTTTTATCTGAAGTTTTTCTCATGGTAAGACTGTGGTTTGAATTATGGGAAGAAGATATCTATTACTTAAAAAAATACACTAAAACTACAATAAAGAAAAGGAAAGGTTGAGAGTCCAACTTCTCTCCATTTGACACAGAGTTACCAATCTCCTTGCCTTTCCATACAGTATCATTTTCTGTGCCATCAAGAATACAGGTGATGTAGTGTTTTAGAAATAGTTCTCGGGGGTGTCTTCCAGATCGCTGACCCTCTTCTGCCAGTTTTGAAGCTGTAACTTTCTTGACCTTAAAGATGTCATGCAACAGCAGCAGGATCACAGCTCCCAGCCAACTGCACCCTCTACCCCATCAGAGACCATCAATTTTAAAATGCATTGGAGAGGTGTTCACAGATGTGGGAAAAGTGTGTCTTAGACTCAATGAAATATAGAATTCTGAATTTTTCATATGCCATTTCTCATAAAATGACTTTATATTCAATACTGCCAAATTACCATTTGGGGTTTAGACCTGATGTGTTGCTTTTTATATCTCTGAATCTAATTCAAAGCAGTAAACTCACACCTGCCAGATTAGTATGAAATTAAATTTTCATTAGGACTACATTTCTTCCCAGTTTTCAAAATCCCAGGGAACCAGTATGGCCCAAATGGAAGTCTGTCTGACTTTCACATGCAGTTGAAGAAACCCAGGGTAGGCTCCTTTTGGAAACCTCTTTCTTGTACTAAGCCTCAGGTGCGGGCCTTCCACCATCTGATCAGGTGCCTGCTGGCCAGAATCCTAGCATGGATGGCACAGATCCCCACAGAAGGCCCTTAAAAGCAGCCCACTGGCTCAGTGCCCAATGTTCTCCCACTGGTCTTCTGTGAGGCAGCTCAAGATGCCCATTCTGTGTGCACCAAAGCAGTAGCTTCCAACATTCCTGCCAGCCAAGGAGATCAGGGTTGGAGGCAATTCTAGCCTTTTCCACTGGGACCTACATAGAGCTGTCTCTTCCCCTCTAGGGACTCAGCAGGAGTGTTCTTTTTCAACCTCTAAATCACAGTAGGAATAATCACACTTTTTTTATCATCAAAAATGAAAATGATTACTCCCTAAAAGTGTTTACAGTCCTTAAGAGGCTGAGGGCCAATGCAGAATATATTTTGCTCTTGAAACTTTTCTCTGGGTCTTGAAGGTCATCTGACCTTGATTGTATTTAAAGAGACCTAGATCTTTAAAGCAGGATAGTCTCAGCAGAGGGAATCTCTTCCCTCCCCTGCCAGGGTAAAACCTACAGTCTCAACAGATCTGATCTGTTATAAGACATTGCAAGCCAGACTCTCTTTAGTTTACCTGGAAAGTGCCTCTTTAAACCTTATGATTTCAGGGACTAAGGAAAGGAATTGGGAAGGGCACTAGGTGAAAAGATTATTCCCAATTATTGTTTTATGCCCTGTGTCTATTTATTGGAGAACTTATATTTTTCTTATGTAATTAAGTAGAATATATTATGTATAAGCACTACTGTATTAAAGTAAATTTACTCACACAAAGCTGCAAATTGCTAATCCTCTGATTTGAGATCCTCTCTGAGAGAAAAGGAAAATCTGTTTTATGATTGAAGAAGATAAACACATTCTGTACAGAGCAGAACTACCTCAAAGTGGAAAATGGATTCAGTCAGTATTTGATTTCCTTAAACAGAAAATTGTCTTATGCTCTCCCATAGGACATTTTCAATATTAAACAAATTAAACAAATGTGTAGACTCATAGCAACAATATATACATTGTGGCCTTATCAGAAATTTTGCCAAAACCTAGTATGTCTTAATTTAGAGAAGGCACATGTTAAAAATGTCAATTTACAAAATTTGTGTACAATATAGTTATCTTAAATTTTCATTCCTACTAGTTAAGCCTATGCAATGTTGCAAGCTAGTTAATTGTGCTTAAAAATTTTTAGAAGTCTTGAAATACTAGAAAAATACAGAAGCCAAAGATTGTGTTATGATCTAAGACATATGATTACATGAGCAACTTCAAAATAATTGTTATGTTCACAGTCACTTTGCATAAAGCATAGGCTGTTACTGCCAATTACAAATTGGAACAGATGTCAGGACCTGCGTGCATGTGTAGGCTCAGTGCTCATTAAATACTTCCAACATATGTGTATTGTGGGACTCTTTGTGCTCCATCAGAAATATAGACACAAGAAGATAAAACAACTAAAAACATTTCCATTTCTGTTCTGCACAATTTTTCACATGTATATGTATTTCTTTCCTGCCAGACTAATGAAAATGCTGCACAAAACTAATTCAACTTTTTATTTAATTTTCATTACATGTGCATTCTATGAATGTTTTTTTCTCTCTCTCTCTGATTTATGGATCAGGAGAAATAGAAAAGGAATTACAAACTGCCCTATCATTTCCTTCCTTTCTGTTAATAATTTTCAGCATAAGTGGTTGGCTAACACAGAGAAGTAATAGGAGTGAGAAGCAATATGACAGGATTTCTCGATCATCTGTGTTTCTTCAAACACCATTGCCTCCTTTCCCCATTTAAAGCAAATTTGGACTCAAATGGATAGTGTGGCATGTCAGAGCTCTCTGTGAGCTCCTCCATACTCCTTAGCCAGAGAAGTGACATGCTTGTCCCATTCATTCTACTTTAAGTCTTGCTGAATTCTGCACACTGTGGATCTTCGGGAATACTATTCTAATGAAGCACCTGGAATTCTGTGTGCAAATGGAGAGGCAAAAATTCACAGACACATATGCCCATCTCCAGTGCTCACATGCATGCTCAATGGTCTCATCCGACTTTCAAAAGACAAGTTCATAGATGAAAGTATTGAGAATATCAAGATGGTGACAATGGGGTATTAAGCGAAGCGTGGGCCTCTATGAGGATGGGCCCCATGACTATTTGTGTTCGTACCCGTGAAGCTCATTTTGCCTCAGTGACCTCACTGACACCATTGTCATGAGGAGTAATTCAGTTATGGATGTAAAGTTCTCAACAGTCTATCACATAGAAAGCATTTGGTACATGGCAGTTTCTTATTACCTGAGTCCCAATAAGCAAGAGTTCCAAACACATGGGACTCTGGAATAGAATGAATACTCCTTCATCTGTGTGGTATTCACAAGACAACTATATGATACACAAACACAATCCTAAGGTGAGTTAGAGAGGTTGCCTGGGTTGCTTTCTACACTAGTGGTTACTGTGGCAGGTTATAGCAAATTGTGCTCTGGAGGGTGTCTAGGAAAAGACAAAGGCACAAGTCATTAAAAGCAATTGAGTTACCAGATTCTCTGTCTGAAAATGAAGTCAGCTCTGGACAAATCTGAGCAAGAAGGCCTCTGATCCAAACTCATAGAGGGGAAATATTTAAATCCAGAATGAAAACAAAATTAAGATCTGAGATTTGCTTAAGCAAGAGGGGATGAACCCTGGTTGACTACAGCATCCAAATGAAATTTGGTGTAGAAAGAATTTTAAGGTCTGGAGTTCCTGAAGAGATGTTGTAGATAATACTCATCAACCAGTTAATCCAACAGAGCTGCTGATAAAGTGGATTTTGTGTGCCTTAGATACATTTGGTTTATTCATGTTTCACCAACCATTCATCTTGGAAGCATCAGTTTAAAAAAAGAATATTTGATAAATTATTAGTCCCTTTTGAGTTAGCACATACTGATTGCTTTAACATAATTTTGTTAAAACCTAAATATTTTTAAAAGCTTCTTTATTAACATATTTCAATGATACATTTTTTTTCATGTGGAAATTATACCAACCTGTAAATTGTGACTTTGTTTAAAGAATGTTTATTAGAAATGACTGGTTAGGCCGGGCACAGTGGCGCATGCCTGTTATCCCAGTGACGTGGGAGGCTGAGCAGGAGGATCACGAGTTCAAAGCCAGCCTCAGCAATTTAGCTGCTGCCACAGCTTCTCCTGGGGGGTGAATGAATCATCACAGTGCTTTTTCACAAGGGGGATATAAGAAGGAACCACAGCCTGGGCACGGCTCTGCACAAAACGAAACACCTCCTCCTTGGATAGAGAGTCAAGATCATCAAAAAAGATGTCTCTAATAAAATACAAAATAGAGTTGGGATATGGCTCCGTGGTTCAGTGCCCCTGAGTTCCATCCCTGTTCCCCCTGCCAAAAAAAAAAAAAAAAAAAGAACTGGTTAGATATGAAAATAGTATGAAAAGTTATGCAGACAATACAAATATAGGGATTATAAATATTCAAGTTCCCATGAAAGCAAGGAATTTCAGACCATGCAATAGGTGAGACCCACATGTCATATGCAATTATTACTTTCGTTCTTATTTTAGAGCATCAGGCTACCCCTCTGTGAAGCATGGACTGACAGAATGAACATGATCTGACTTGTTAAAAATCTCCTTATAGAGAGAAGGCAATATAGACATTGACTGGCATAATATCTATCTCTAGCATTTTTTTTAAAGACCTCTCTCCTGCTCCTGCCCATTTGGCTTTGAAAAATCTGGATTTAATTTTTATCTTAAAAACTCAATGGGCTTATTGGGAAGTATTAACTTTCTGAATTCCATGGTCCTCTCATTCACTGGTGCTGCGGTTATAGAGGGTCATGAACTCCCAGGAATGCTGAGTCAGGGTGTGGGTGTGCTACTCCAATGCCGCTGCTTAAAGGATTTGACTGATAAATTATGTTCTTGCTTCCAGATGCAGAGCCCAAGTATCTGATAGTTGTACGACCTGCTCCCCCTCCAAGCCAAAAGAAGTCATGCTCAGGTATAGTCATTTTTATTGGTTTTCTTTTATTAACTTTAAACCACAACTTTTCATTTTTTCTTTTTTCTTTTCCCTATAGGAAAGCCAAATGCCTTGGAGATGTCTTAGGAATGTATGGAGTAGGTAGATGAAATCCCTTGATCCACAGGTGACCCTGTTGGAGAAGTTGCTTAGCTAAGTGGTAGAAGCTGCTTGGGATCTTGTGCCAGCATCACTTACAAGCAGCAGGGGTTAGAGATACTTAACCTTTTTACAACTGTGTTCTAATGTGTGATAGGATTGTAGAGAGCATAAAATGAGATAGTGACAGGTCCTGTTCTGCTCATCAGAGGCTAACTCCTGTTAACCTTATTCTGTCTGTGACATGAGCACTTTTGCCCACCATGATGCCTTTCAGCTTTCAAGGGCAAAGTTTTTTGTCTAACCTTTATTCAAGGAGACTGTTTACATTTCAAAAGGATAACTCATTTGTACATGTGTTGAATGGACTTGAAGTTGGGTTTTAGTTACTCTTTCTCTCTCCCTTCTAAACCTCTTCTTTGTATTCAAACAGAAGAACAACTCCTTTCATAAAGCTATAGCAACAGCAGCACCCAACATTCTTTTATTTTAAACTTTATTTATTTTTATGTGGTGCCGAGGATCGAACCCAGGGCCTTACAGGTGCGCTCTACCGTTGAGCCACAATCCCAGCCCCAGCAACCAACTTTCTAAGTGTGGGAGGATTGGAATCAGGAAAGTAGGTGACATATGAATAAATATACAGACACTTACTGCATGACAAAAGAGAGATTAGAAGTGTACAATGTCTAACTTAACTCCTAAGACTTCTCAGATCAAATAAGTGAAGAATTGCTGAAAGAAAAGGTGGTAGAAGCGGTAATATACTTTTTCCATCTGATACAGCATCTTCCTATCTCCATAGAGTTCGTCAAAGTTTTGCTTGGTTTTTCTTATGTGAGCTGTTATCCAAATAATTATTATTATTTTTTTATGGAACACTGGATACCACCCAGAAAAAAGATCTTTTTTGTTGTTGTTGTTTGCTTGCTATATTTTTTACAGGGATAAAACACAAGAAAGCATTCAGCTATTTAATTATACTGAACACTGGGGCTCTTTGCAACTCTGCAACCCAGGGATGATTGCCAGAAATCAATTACCACAATCCCCTCCTCTCCTTTACCTTGATTTCCCTTTCTTTTAAGAGCAGCCTTGAATGGTCAAGTATTTTGAGAAATATAAAATATTATCCTGACCTCTTTTATTATCTCAAAGCCAAAGGGAAATCTCAGTAATTTCTTCTGACTCGTTGCTGAGAGTTTTGCAGGCAGTTTTTCACACACTTTAAAATAATTGTTCTCCCAATATTTCAAAATGCTGAACGAGAAAATAAAAACTCATGACTGTATTTCCTTGGAATATGTTTTCATGTGAGTATTTATTGAACTGATACAAATATCATACTATAAATAAAAAAATATATAGAAAGGAAAGTGATCACATCTTAACAGCACTTTATAACTTCATTTCATTTTGAGGTTTCTATGACACTGGCCTTAGATATTATTTTTCACTTCATTATGACTAACTCAGGAAATTGTTTCATCTTGCTCAGGATGTGATACTCCACCTTTCCTTTTAGGCAGTGGATATAGTTTTTGTTTTTGTAATCTGCATTTGGGAGTGATGTAATAACTAATGGATTAACTTTTTCTCATTTTATATTTGCATCTACCACATAAATTTGAATTATTTAATCATTTTTGCATTAAGATCTAACCTTAGTTAAGTAACTATTTGATGGGTCATACAAGCCTTAGGTTACCTTGGGGAAAGAAAACTCTATATTTCATCTCTACATAGTATTTTCTTTATACATGGTGAGCTAAACCAGTGTGTAGTAAAAAGAAAACTAGATAATGATCAATGAGACCTAAATTTGAGTTTTGATCCTGCTTTCCATGTGACTTTGGATACCCTTGATCCTTCCCTGGGCTTTACTTTTTATCTCTAATACAAAAATGTTATATTACATTAGTAAAAATCAACCTAGAAGTGGAATAAATAATATCAGAATCATCTATAGGCTTTTTCAACCTGTATATGACCCACTCTTAATCAAGATTTTCATCTGCCCTCCTTGGAGGTCATACATGGACCATTTGAATCACTATCATATGAGGTATATATAGGTGGATCTGAAAAATATTTACCTAGAAAGATAAATGCATGTTTGCAACCAAGGAAATGATAACTATCCTTGTACTGTATTTTAAACATCTTTAAAAAAACAGAGTATCCTAGTTGAGAAAGTTCTGGTGTATTGTTGCACAGTAGAGGGATGTTTTTAGTCAGCTTTTTCACATTGTGACAAAAAGACCTGATAAGAACAATTTTAATGCGGAAAAAGTTTATTTGGGGCTTACGGTTGCAGAGGTCTCAGTCCATAGATGGCCAACTCTACTCCTCTGGGCCTACGGTGAGGCAAAACATCAGGACAGAAGGGTGTGATGGAGGAAAGCAGCTCAGGACATGACGATCAGGAATGGAGAGACTCCCTTCATCAGGGATAAAATATATACCACAAAGCCATGACCCCAGTGACCCAACTCTCCCCACCACACCCTGCTTTACTGTTACCACCCAGCTAATACCTATGAGTAGATTAATGCACTGAGGATGTTCAAGCTCTCAAAACTTAACCACTTCACCTCTAAACTTTCTTGTGTTGTCTCACAACACAAGAGCTTTTGGGGGACATCTAATATCTAAACCCTAGCAGGCGACTGTATGTGTTAGTTTTCTGTTATTGTAACAGATACCTGAGGTAACTAACTCATAAAGAGATCATTTGACTCACAGTTTTAGATTATGATCAGTTGGCCCCATTGCTTAGGGCTCTGGTGGCATATCATGGCAGGAATGTATGACAGAGCAAAACTGGTAACCTCCTATCCAGAAGATAAAAAGAAAAAGAGGAAGGGACTGGAGTCCCACAGTTCCCTTCAAGAGCACACCCTCGGGGAGCTAAAGGCCTCTCAGTAGGTCCTACCTCTTAAAGGTAGGTTCTAACTTAATAAAAGGTTCTACCTCTTAAAGGTAGGTTCTAACTTAATAAAAAGTTCTAACTTTTATTAGTGCTGTGGGCTGAGGACCAAGCCTTTAGCACACTGACCATTGAGAGAGACTTCTGCAAACCATACCATCATAGATGACAAAGTGCAAATAACATAAATTTTATTATAAAAAAGCTAGATGAAAATATGTTGAATGTTTTTACCATAAGGAAATGATAAATGTTTAAAGAGATAGGATTATGCTTTTTAGAACATTACACAATATATGCAAGAATTGAAATATTACATGGGATTTTATGAATCCGTAAAAAGTAAAAAGAGGCAACTATCCTGTATTAAGGCAATTTGCTACCAGAAGTTTATATATAATCTGAACTCAAAAGGTTTCTTGCCAAATTAACAACGACAGAACTTAAAGCAATATGAATTGCACAGTTTTCAAAAGTATCGTATTTAGATAACCACCAATAGGCTCAGATAAGGGGTACCCTCCTACCCACCTTAATAAAAGTTACAAGGCTATTTTGCTATTTGGCTCCATTAGATTAAGATAATATGAGTTCTTCCTTATAGCAAATGAAACAGTCTCGTGAAATAAAAGAGGGGATTAAATGGGAATAGAAAGGTGCATCTTTTATGTTCATTCTGTGTAGTTTTACTAGGCTTCCTTTATTTTATTTATCCTGATTGAACCAGTATTGGTTCCATGGTTGAGTTTCTTTCTTCTTCTTCTCATTACTGTAGTTTCAAATACCTGCCTACCCACATACTTAAATATATAGTGATTCATCAGCATAATTCTTGGCATTTTGCAAATCCAATTAGTCCCATTCCCATCAAAACAACTGTGCTTCCTATACTACTCCTGTTCTTCCAGTATTATGGAAAATGTGTGGACCTTTTCCATTTAGGTACTCATTGTAGATACATGGTTTTAAAAACTTTATACCAAGGAATTTTGACCCACAAAAAAAATCAAAAATTAGTATGGTTGGTTATGGTTTATATGTATACAGATACATATTTGCATGCATACATATACCCATGCACATAAATATGACAAAGGGTATTTTCATTTGATCATGCTAAAATTCATGGAAAGGATTAATGTGTGAACCATATGAAAATAAAAGGAATTTAATGTTTTCACACACTTTAAAAAAATCATCTTACCAAGTTATCTTTATGCATTTTACTCAAATATCAAGTACACTAAATGTTTCCATAATTAACTTGCCTGCTGTCTTCATAGGTAAAAGTCGCTCTCGCAAACCTCTGCAGCTGGTGGTTGGCACTCTGACACCAAGCTCAGTCTTCCTGTCCTGGGGTTTCCTCATTAATCCACACCATGACTGGACATTGCCAAGTCACTGTCCCAATGACAGGTAATTCATCATAATGAAAAATGTTGGGTTTTTTATTTGAAAATTAGCACTTGCTTTTAATAGTATTTGAACATGCTGTAGAAGAACATATAAATACCAGGACCATAAGCACTTACTTATCACCTGTTAGATGTACTATCATTATAGATGGAAAGGGAGCACAGATACTTAAGTCAGGGGCCCCACCTTTGAGAGTTATGATCTCCCTGAGCAGAAAGCATGAAGATGTATGTTTCATCCCAAATAGAAAGTACATGGGGGGAATGAGCCAAATAGCAAATGGACAGTAGCAATAATATGTGCAATAAAGCTCAGAGGAGGGGACTGAAGGTAGTTAGGAGAGACTAAAAATTTGGAAAGTTGCTTGGGGAAGGATGGATCTTTGCTCTGATGTTTGAAGAAGTGCCTGAAACAGTAGACCTCAAAGGATGGTCCCCAAGCCAAGTAGCATTGCCACAAATGGGAACTTGTCACAAATGCAAATGGCAGGTTTCCCTCCAGATTTAAGAGAATCAGAAACTCAGGGTGGGGCTCAACCACCTGTGTTTTAACAGCCTTTCCGATAATTCTGCTGCCCACTGAAGTTTAGAATCACTGGCTTAGAAAACAGGAGAGACACCTGGGGGAGATATAGGTAGAGAAAAAATAGTGGAGATAGAGCCACTATCTCTTTGGCAGAACAAGTAAGAAAAATCAAGCATATTTTAAAAACACTGCCATTTATTCATCGTTCCATCAAGTGTATATACTTGGCACCGTACGAACATGTACCAAGCACTATGCTAAACACTGAATCACGATACTAAATTGCTTACAAAATAGCATTTGCTTATTATAAATATTTACTACATTAGTTTCAACATTTAGAAATTGAACAAACATTCAAATTTTTAAGCTTCAATAAGGATTTTTAAGTTTTTTGTTTTAAGTACAAATTGATTTTCAAATTTGCAGAGTTTTATTCCCCTTTTAAACAAAAAAAAATTTGAGGTATAATTTAAACAATAGTAAAATGCGCAGACCTTATGTGTATGTTTGAGTAATTATAAATGCATAAAACCATGCATTTTATAAAATCAAGAAATAGAACATTTTATCACCCTAGAAATCACCTCCCTCCAGAAGCAGTCACTGATTTGGTTCTATCACTGTAGATTGGTTTTCCTACTCTAAAATTTTATATGAATGGCATCAGATAGTATGGGAAGGTCTTCCCTATCTTCTTTTATTCAGCATATTTTGAGATTTATTCATGACATCATAGGTATCAATCAGTCATTCCTTTTTTAATTCCTGAATGCTACTCCACTATGTAAATATTCTAGATTATCCATTCCCTTGCTGGTAGATATCTGAATTGTGTTGGGTATTGGATTTTATGAATATATATTTTATAAACATTACTGTATACGACTTTGTGGATATATGCTTTAATTTCTTTTAGATAAATACCTAGAATGGGAATTGCTGGTTACCTTTTTTTTTTTTTTTTTTTGGTCTAATCTCCCATCTCTCTTCCTCAAGCAATATACAAGGTTCTTGTTTGTCTACATTGACACTAGCATTTTGCATTGCTAGCATTTTTTGCGGCATCTATTCCATTGAAGCAGTATCTCATTATAGTTTTGATGTGTACTTCCTTAGCATCAAGTATATGAGTACTTTTTCATCTATTTTTTAACCATGTTTATATTTTTTGTGGTTTTATTTATTTTTGTCTTAAAAGAGAGGCCTTTAAAATGTTTATAAATTCTCAAAAGTACCTTTCACATGACTTTGATTAGGAAATCTACACTAAAAAAATTAAAATTTTTTTCTTAATACGTTCATGGTTCTCAAGAGATAAATATTTGGAAAAAGGCACACAGAAGATATTTCCAAAACCCAATATTTTGAAAAATAATTTTGAGATGCTTCAAAAATCTGAAATATTCCTTATTTTACCCACCACTAAGTTCATGTCTTATTTTGCTTGGAAAAATGTACTCTTGAAAGCACATGTTTTCTTGAGATAATTCCAGTTGTTAGTGGGTTATTCCAGGATGTCAATGCTGAGAAAATAAACATTTAGGGGTTGCTTTTTATCTTCTCTTTATTAAAAAAAATTTTCTTTTGACAAAGAAAAGAAGAAAAAGAGGGAGGAAAGGAAGAAGAAAGGGAGGAAATCTGATAGTTTTATATCAAAATGCAACCTTACTTGAACCATTAATTTGCTTGATAAATCTTTGAACCTGTTCCAACAGGTTTGGTAACCTGAAAAATTCATAAACATTATTTATATAAAATTTCCTCCCTGCTTCCAAGTTGCTCTCTTAATTTCTCTTGGTCCGACAGACATTTCCAGGAAAGATTTTATCTGATGAGCGGTCCTGATGGATAGAGGTTGCCACAGTTGGACAGCACAGGGAGACATGAATACAGAAAAATGAGGACAGGTGACAAACGGAGCTGAGGTGTTGAACACAGGCACTCAACTCTAAGCCCAAGCTACACAGACCATAGCACATCTCACCCTCACCCACACACATACCTGTGGCCCTTCCCTTTTCGTCAAATAGATGGAGCCAGGCACATCAAATCACAATATTCCAAATCAGTAATTCCCCTTTAACTAACATTTTTGAAATTTAATAAATAGTGAATTTCAAAAACAGTCACAACAACAAAAAAGAAACCTTTGGAGTACATGTGGATTCCATTTTTCAGCCTCTTTTCTCCCAAGTTAGTAGAGTTAATAAAGAGATGACATTTAGAGTCCTTGGCATATTTGAGAAAAATTATTAGTCTTTATTTGAAAGTGTTAGAAATGCTGTGCATATTCTGAACATCCAAATAAATCCACTATAACTATTAATAAGTGTAATTAAAAGCATACTTGGTGATATCTTCCCTTACATGTTCACACAGATTTTTTTAAATTTAGAGTTCAGACCAATCAAGTAAGTTACAATAAACAATAATAAGTAAAGGGAATGACTATTTCTTGAAAATTGGAAGATTACACAGCTGAAATGTTCTTTCAGGAATATCTTCTTACAAAACCATTGGAATCTAAATGCCCTTGGCTTGCCACAGGAACACCAAGTGGTGTCATTTTTAAACCACTGAACTCAAATATCTGGAACCCTCAGTAAAGTCTCTGATTTACAAAAATCATTTCACATTGGTCTGTACAGCCTTCTTCATCCTATGCAAATGATATATTGGAAAAGTTTTTCCTTTGTCCTTTGACTTGGATGAGTAAGTTTCCAATGAGAAAAATGCCTGTTTTTTTTTTTTTGTTGTTGTTTTGTTTTAAGCTCAGAAGTATTAATGGAAATCATTTTATCTTTGTGGTGCATTTCTATTTCTATTTGCATGGGTTCTATATGGGTCTTCAATGGTTTTAGATCTATTTCTGAGTCCACACTGGAGAGAGGTGATGTGCTTTATTTAAGGTTTTGTTCTTAATGAGCTTTAAATGGAAGAGTGTACACATTTGTCCCCAAAATGACTAAAGCCAAAAAAATATTTCCAAACTGTCCCAGATGAAGAATAAAATATGTTTTTAACAGAAATTTATGTCACCATTAATAGCTTATTTTTTCTTTCCCATGTTTCCAACTCGTTAAAGTTTTCAAGATTGCTTTAGTTCTCCTTTGCCAATTTATTAAAGCATTATAACTTGTTTAGAAATAATTTTCACATTATTCTGACACTTTCATATTGGGCTTATTTCCTCTTAATGTAGAATGAGGGCTCTCCTTTTTGGCTGGTCCAGAGCAGTCTTTTCTTGCCTTTTATTTTTTCTCCCAAGTTTTAAAGAAGTGGGTATTTTCAATGCTGAAGTCTCTCTTGATTGAGCCCGATGTCTGTTACCCATTTGTGGAGTAGTGTAAATTTAAGTTCTATGAGGGCAGGGACTGTGTGCATCTTGCCTATTATTGTCACCCCAGTCCCCATGCCAGGGTCTGGAACATTATAGACCTTAGTAAATACATGTTGAACAAATACACAGTGAGATATCAACATTTTAACTTTTACATATCACTATTACCTCAAACTCTACAAGACAAAATTGAACTCGCACTTTTTCTCTTGATAACCTCATTTATCTTTTTATTATTTGGGGAAGTTCCATCCCTTTACCCTAATTTAAGGACTTATTCACTTTTGACATTTCATCTGATACAGTCTATAAAGGCCCCATATGGTTCATTTTTCTTTTGAGAAGTATCTATATTCATTTCACCATTTCCACACTAATAATTCTAATCCAACTACTCCTCAGTGGAAGCTGTCTACATTCCCTGACTCATTTTCCTACCCCAGTCCATCCTAGCTTCTGTAACTGAGGAAATCTAGACCATCCACCATCAGCTTACTCTCTCTTTTTTTTTTTTTTTTTTTGGTACTAAATTAATCTTTACCTCTACCTCACTTCTCTTTTTTTCCAAAGAACCCATCTTTGACCCAAGACAGTGTTCCTGATTCCATTTCTTCCCACGAGCCTTTTCTTCCTCACTGTTCTCCTCTCTCTTACCCCTTCTCTGCCCTTAGTGCCTTGCCTCCTACTTGTAAGCATACTCAAGATTTCCCTAACCCAAACCAAAACCATCTGTTGATCTCATGTCTTCCAAGCAACTTTTCAATCCCTTAATTCTAAAGCTTCTCTGAATTATCTGCTACATACTTGATTTCTACACCACCCACATATTCATTTTTCCTGGCTTCCATTCCCTTTCTACCATTTCATGAAAACAACTTTTAGTGGTCACCAATTCATTGCTAAATCCAGTAGAATTTTCTAAGCTATTACCCTTCTTAGCTTCTCTGTGGAATTAAAGGCCATCCCCTCAATCCTGAATTCTTTCTTTCTTGGACATTTTTCTTCTTGCTCCTCTAACCATTCCTTCTCTCCTTTGCCAACCTCTTTTCCAACCTACTAAATGTGAAATAATGTTCTGTCCTTGGTGCTCTTATCTTCATGTCCCCTTATCTATGCCTTGTCTTTAACTATC